GTGAATTGTTGCCGGCCAGTGGAGCTCAGCATCTCAGTGCTTGGGGTTATTTTTACTGGGGGACACGGAGAGGGAGTGATCACATAGGTGGCCACTGCTTGCCTCACATCCCCAGTCCAGATTCCCAGAAGGAGAGTAGGTGTTCCGCACAAGCCCATACTGCTTTTACAAACATTTTTGGCACACGGAGCCCATTCTGTCAGTAACTCCTGGGAACCCTCCACGTGTGCCTAGACACCAGCCAAGTTTCAACCTTATAGCTAGCCTTTTGAAAGATAGCTTTCAGACCACCTGTTGTAACTCTCTTCTGCACTACTAGGTTCATCTCATGATCATTCCCATTGTAGATGTAAATATCGTAAAGCATCAAAAAGTTACATGGCTTACCTGGAAATGGAAGGGCCAGGAGCCTTACCGAAGCGACCCACGTCCGTTCACAGGCGCCTCACCGCTCTCTCATGCTGCCTTCCTGATCGTGGACTACAGCTTCTCAGAGCACACAGGAAAGAGGAGGCTCCCCGCGGACAGCTACACAGAGGCGCGGAGGCAGGAGCGTTAGGCACTTCAGAAGGAGGGTAAATGGTTGGCAGGCTGGAGTAGAAGCACAGGGGCCTCGTGGTGTTGAGAGTAAATGGGGACCGGGAGTGATATGAAAAGGAGCCTGTCCCGATTCTGTCAGTCACGAGGGTCCCAGGGTGGTGGAAGTGGAGCTGGGTCGCTATCAACATCTTTGTATGTAGGAGAGTAACACACGGGGACCACCTTGTAGAAGGGTCTCTATGGCCTGGCCCATTTGTGGTTTCTTTCTTCATTCATTAGCTGAAATCCCAGCACCATCCCACTAACCTTTGTGTGGGTTTCACCAAGTCACCGGCCCTCCGCCCACCCTGTGGTCTCAGCTACAGACACAGAGGTGGCACACCCACTGTTGTTCTTGTGAGAACGAGGTAAAGGCATGCCTGGACCCCGGGCTTTGTGGATGGAAACACGATCTAGACAGGACCAGAAGATGGGCTGTTGAGCAGGGCTGTCCCAAAGAACTTCCTGGATATTTCCTTTCCAGGTGCCATTTGGTCAGCGTGTGTGAGGGGTGCTCAGCCTTCCCTCGCCAGGCTCCAGGCTGGGTACTAGGACCAGCACGAAGCTCCTGCTTCAGGCAGCTCAGGAACGAGAGCTAGGCCTCCCCTGAGGCCCGAAAAGAACCCATTCCCAGAAGAGCTTGAAGAATGCCGGGGTTTAGTGGTGGCTGGCTCTCCAGATGCTCCACCCCCCTCCTGGATTGGCAGCGTGGGGCTGTGAAGCTAGAGTGGTCTACATTTGTCCCACCTCTGCCTTTTCCTAACCACATGACCCCACCCGGTGACTTCACCTGAGCCTCAGTGGCTGTATCTGTAAAATGAGATAACACCCATAGATGTGAGGGTCAAAGGTCTCTTGTTCCCGGGGTCCCTGTAGCATTGGGCAGACATGCAGGCCTGTGGCCCCACTGGGGGGTTTCAGTCCCTTATAACTTATAAGTTCTGTTTTTCACTAGAAGTAGAGTCCTAGAAATCTTTTCCGTAGAATTTCAGTGCTGAAGTTTTGAGGGAGGGGGTGGGTGGGCAGGAAACTCAGCAGGGAGCCTTGGACTTAGTGTTAGAGCCCTAGTGTGTACTTTCAGCTCTGCCTCACACTGGCTGTGTGCATTAGGCAGGATACGTGCCTCTCTGGGCATCACTTTCCTCAGCCACCAAATAGGCCAAGTCATTTGGCCCAGAACTAAGTTCTAAAATTATAGCATAAGGCTATTTTGAGGCCAGAATTTCATTCGGAATAGCAAGCATTTTTGGCAAGTGCTCTTGTCCCTCCAAGTCCGGAGTGAGCCGGATGATGAGTCCCCAAGATTGCCCACGCGTGGAAGCTCCGCCGGGAGAGCCAGCAGCCCGTTGCCCCAGAAATCCCGTACTCGGTGTTCTTGTTCGCATCTCGTCCTAACAGATCTGTACTTTTAGGGGATAGTAGTCTCTGCCTCTCTTTAAACAACGGTGTCTTTTAAAATCATAAAAATAAAAATCACTCTTTATCCAGATACTAGGAGATCTCCACTGTTAGCATTTTGATCTACAGCCTTTGTTTGGTGGTTTATTTTTCTATAGCTGCATGTATTTGATGGTGCCTTAAGGTATAGATTTGAATCATTGAGATCGCCACACTAGTTTGGCGTTAGATTAAATATCTAGGTGTTGTGGGGGCGTGAGCCAGATGCCCTGCCTTTACTCTCCAGGAAGGAGGTGCCCTGGCCCTGGAAGTAATGGCTATTCAGATCAGGCCACAGGACAGTACTGAGTGCAGGGGGGTGGAGAGAAGGGTGATAAACCAGCCTCGGCTCCAACCCTCGATTCTGCACCCCGGTGTGTTTGCACACTTGCTCAGTCCCTTTTGTTCAGGAGAACACAGCACGGACTCGCTGAGGGCCTGCTACAATGAGGAGCACTCTTTTTGGCTCGGGCACACAGCAGTGAATCAGGCAGACAGGACACCCACCTTCACAGAACTGAAGTCGAGTTAGAAAGAAACATCGTACACAAATCAGTCAATTAAGTGTGTGTGTGTGTGTGTGTGTGTGTGTGTGTGTGTGTGTGTGTACACCACATCACCATAACCACTTCTTGTAAGGAAAATGGGAGCAGAGCAGGGCACCTAAGAGCTGTCGATTAGAGCTACGGTAGGTAGATAAGAAGACCAGGCTGCCGTCGAGCACGGGGAGGGGTGGATGGAGGCAGATGGAAACACATGCTTGGCTTGTTGAAGCACCAGCAGTAAGGAGGTCAGTGAATCTGGGGTACAGAGGAGGAGGTCGGGGAAGCATCGGGGGCCAGGTCTTTCAGGATCAGGAGAAGACTACAGCTTGGTTCTGAAAGGTTTAGGAAGCCACTGGAGGAGTGAGAACAAGAAGAGACTTGATCCAGATTGCCCTTCAGTGTACAGCAGATTATTACCTTGTTACGGCTGCTCAGAGAGAGTAACTCACCTGGCTCAGGGCTGCTGAAGGATGGAGCTGGACCTGAACCCTGGTCTGCCTGACCTCATGAATTATGTGCCTCCCACTGGGCCACCTGCCTGGAGGTAAAAAACTTCCACCAACACTGGGAGATGCTTCGGGTATGCACTCCCCCAGGATAGCTTATTGCCCGAGCTCACCCTAAGAAGTTCCCGGCGCCAGGGCACTCACCGCTCAGTGGCCTCAGTTGCCAGAGCATTGCCTTGTGCTCTCACTGGCCCAGAGGATTTTAGCAACAAGCACTGAGTGGAGCTGGCACCTCCAACATCTCCTTCCTCTGGTTGGTGGAGTAGGCCAGGGGCAAGCGTGGGGCGAGAGAAGGATGTGAAGCAGAGAGGGCGTCAGCTCCGGTCCCAGGCTTTGGTGCCACTGCTGTTGCGCGCTTACCTTAGCAAAACCACTTTACCTCGCTGGTCCTTGCCTTACCACCCTGCACAAGGAATGGCATTCTCATTCCAGGGGACTGTTTGTGAGGGATGCCGTTTGAATTAGGTAATTGTCGCAGCGCTCCCAAGCATCTGGAACCATGATTAACATATGAACAGCAATTACATTTTGCAGGAGGACTTCACATAATATTTGAGCAGCTCATAAAAATTCTTCCAATGTCATCGCCACCACTCACGGCTTCCTCGGGTGTAAAACAGAGATAGCACGCCCTTCCTCGGTTGCCCGTTTTGAAGATCCTGGTAGGACCTTGTGGGCTTACTGTTGCTGTTCCTGTTCACAGACGAAGAAAGGGAGACTCAGAGGTTCAGGTCACGCAGCAACCGCGTGGCATAAAAGACAGGCACAATTCAAGTGTTCTGGCTCCCAGGACCTGCCCAGAGGCGGAAGGAGGGGCACTGGTGGGGCGAAGCTCAGACGTTGGCCCTCTGAGGTCCTTCCTTCCCACAAGTGCTTGCAACAGACGGAAGCCCCCGCTGACTTGTTGAAAATGACCCCCTGCAGGGCTGTAAAGGAGGTGAGGTGGCAGCAGTCCTGAAAGTGTCAGGAAACAGGATCCAGTGTGTGCCGGTGTGAATGATGTCACTTAAGGGGCGTGGTTGAAACCAGAAAGAGCAGGTGCGCCTGCTTCCAGTATAGCTTAGAAACAAAGGCAACAACCCGGCCCTGCTCTCCGTGCACACACATTGGGGAACTCCCTCTGAGTTCTCAGGGGCTCCATCTTTGCAGGCCACTGATCATCCAGGTGCCTACAGGGCGAACAGACCGCCGTACTCAACATGTGGTCCAGGAGTCAGCATCTTCAGCCAAAACCTGGGAACTAGGGAGAAATCCATCTTCTCGGGCTCCTCCTTCACCCCGACTCCAAATCAACAGAATGAGCCTGTAACAGCTCTCCAGACGGCGGGGGAGTCCTTGCTTTAGAAAGCAGTGGCCCGGAGAGCTTGACTTTCCCACCCCACCCCACCATCCAGGTTGGCTTAGCAAAGTGAGAGAGCATGCTTTGCTGTTCCAAAGCAAATACAGTACATAGGTAGCATCCTGTAGGAGAGTCATCCCAGATATTGGAGCCAGATAAAACTTGGATCCCTCTGTTGAACCTTGCCCACTGGTGACTTTGGGCAAGTCCTGTTACCTCGCCATATCCCAACCTGCGCGTCTGTGTAGTGTAGGTTGCACACCCTTCCTCTAGCCTGTTTGGGAGGGTTGGGGAACATGATGGGTAATGTGCGTGGCTCAGGGCCTGATGCTTACTCGCTCCTCAGCAATGATGGCTGGGATTTGATGCACACAACTGCCCGTCATTCAGGTTTGTGTGGAGAGTGCTCCCACGGATGCTGTGAGCCAGGTGTGCCCCCTAGACACGCAGCTTGCACACCACCCCATTGCCTGGACGCCGTGATGCGCTGGTCTCACGCACTGCTGCACCAACCAGCCACTGTGTGTGTTTCTTTACTGCCCCCTTCATCGATGCATGACTCATTGCTTCATTCATGTCTCCATGTGTGCGTAGAAACCTAGGCAAGCAGCCATTCCTAGGGACATTGCAGGACAACCTCATTGAGATGGACATTCTCAGCGCCTCCCGCCATGATGGGGCTTACGGTGACGGGTAGGTGGCATTCCCATGCTCCTCCTCTCTGTGTGTACTCTCCCAGAACCCCCTGCACTTGCATGCAAACCCTGAGTCCTTCCCTCCCGGGGCATCTTGAGGAAGCCAATGTCATCCTATTGCATGTCCATCCCCAAGTCCACGTTCACCTTGCAAGAGTTTATCCTTAGAAGACTGTCCCCCAGCATATTAACAGCAGCCTTGTTAATATGCAGCTCCTGCCATCTCATTGGCTGCCTTTGCCATTCTGAAAATCATCTCATGTAGCGATTTTGTGTGTGTAGTACAGACCCTGCGGGTCTGTATTCTACAACCTGAGGCGGCTAATATGCTGGTAGCGATGAGACTGCTCCCCTGAATCTGGCAGGAGGTGAGACTTCCCAGGCTGTGCGTGGAAACCCTCGCAGGCCATGGTGAAAGCCACCTGACATGCGTTTGGCTACAACCATGTGCACTGACTGCCCAAGGCTGCGCTCAAGACTAGCGAGGCAGTAGGATCCAAGGCCCACCTGCACTCTGAGCAGCTTTCGCCAGGGGCTCAGAATGGAGCAAGCCTGGCTTCTGAGCAGTTATTTGGAAGCATTGGCGATGAGGGGGCCTCTTGGTCACAGCAGAGCTTCATGAAAGGGTCTGGGCTCCAAGGACCACAAGAGCCCCTTCCAACGAGTGGGTATCCCACGCCCCACTCAGAGTACATCGGCAACGCATGTATTTGACGGAGGGAGGCATTTGAAGGTCCATTGCGTCCAGGTAGCAGAACAGGATTTGAGATGGTTTCCAAGTGACTGCACTGCTCTTAGAGAAAACGCAAACTCACTGCCATGGAGTCGATCGGCACGCCGAGCGACCCCCAGGACAGAAGAGCCGCCCCGGGGTGTCAGACTAGAACTGTCTGCAGGAGTAGAAAGCCCCGTTCGGTAGCTTGTTCCCTAGGAAACAGCATCCAGCCCCAGATCTTTCCAGAAGGAAGATCCCTGTGCCGTATCCCTCGTCCCACATCCAGGGGGTGGAGTGCTAACACCTTCGTGCCTCCGCTTGGGAGGTTTGCCCCACGGGTAGGACTGCCCCCATTCAGGTCCCGTGGAAGCGTGCCTTCGTGTGCTCTGTTTTTGTGGACTGGTACTTGGTTCCCCTTTTCTCCATCCCCCTGTCTCCTCTGTGGTGGCGCTCGCGCGCTGTCTCCAGGCCCATGCATGCTTCTGCTCCGTCCTCTGAGTGTGTCAGGCATTCCCGGGGATAGGCCAGGCCGCTTCGGAGCCTGACCGCACTCCTCCTCCTCCTCTCTGCCCACAGGCACTTCCTCTTCAAGCCAGGTGGCACCTCCCCGCTGTTCTGCACCTCGTCCCCAGGGTACCCACTGACATCCAGCACCGTGTACTCCCCTCCACCTCGACCCCTGCCCCGCAGCACCTTCACCCGGCCAGCCTTTAGCCTCAAGAAACCGTCCAAGTACTGTAACTGGAAGTGTGCGGCCCTGAGCGCCATCGTCATCTCGGCGACCCTGGTCATCCTGCTGACTTACTTCGTGGGTAAGCACCTCCTTCGCCCCAGCCTCCCTCCTCTCCCCCTGGGCCCAGAGGGCAGCGGCCAATACACCTGTGGGCACTGAAGGCTCCTTGGCAGCCTGGAGATCAGAGCACAAAGGGTGCTGGACAGGCCTTCACCCCCCCAAACCTGCCAAGGGTCAGCCCAGTGTACTCCTCTTCCCCTCCCCTCTGCACGTGGACAGAGACATTCTTAGAACCAGAGAGGAACCTTCTCATCTGTTCTTCGTGGGTCAAGGCATAGGCACTCACTAGGACTAGGCTTCAGGGTGAGTGGCACAGATTGGTGTGGCTATCGATGAAATGGCAAGTTGGGGAACTGGGCAGCAGTCAGGCCCCTTCCACTGGGGCCATGTAGCAACAGTGAGGAGAGGACCGAGAAGGCATGCCCTGGAATCAGCAGGGACCATCAAAGACTGGACTGTGCTGATCCTGAACGGAAGCCAGGAAACCTGTCTGGAGGTGTGAGGGTCCAGCACGATGGTCTGAGGGTGTTGTGGAAACCAAGGTCTAGTGTTCATTGGCAGCCAGAGACCAGGGGACTCCTCACTGGGGAGCAGCGGGCCTCAGGAAGCAGTATGAGCCGGGCCTAGGGAAGAAACAGTGACTGGGGCTCCTCTGACCAGATCTCCAGAGCGCTGCACTTGGGTTAGAGGCTGGAAGCACTGCCTGATTCAAACAGGACGGTTCCCAGCTCCTGCTGCACCATGCTGCTTTGATGAATTTGTGACACATGCCGGGAACGACTCACCTCTCTCTCTCTCTTTGGCCTTGGCCTTCTCCCAGGGAAGGTAGTAGTCTGAAGAAATCCGTGTGCCTTGTGTAGAGGGAGTCATTGCCTGGAGGTAACACAGCCTGTGGGTGAAGGCGTTCAGTGAGGTTGACTTAATCCTCAATGTCATTTCCATCCTTCCGCTGTTCAGACTCTTAGTTTCATCCTTCAGATTTCAGATTGGGAGATAGAAAGTAGGTCAGGGCCAGTGTTCTCAGGTCTTGAACCCATGCTAAGCAATTCTGCGGTAATTCTTTAAGGAAAGGGTTTTCTGTTCATCGGGGGCTAGGGAGGCGGTTGGCTTGATTTTAAGTGTAAGTCGAATAAAAAATAAGAACAACTGGCAGAGAGTATCAGAGGAAACAGCCCCTCCCAGTGTGGAAAGGACTCTGTAGCCAGTGAAGTCATTGAGTAGGGCAGGGGCTCGCTGAGAGATGGGAGGTGCTCAGTTACTATAAATGAACAGTAGGGCATGGACCCACAGAACGTGGAGAAGGAATTTGAGCAGTGATATCTGTGGGTGAGCTGAACAGATTGCTTCTCAAGATTCCTGGATTTTATGAAGACAGATCATCAGGAAGACGACAGTGCTGCAAATTGGGAGGTCTCTGTAAACATTTCTAACGAATCAGCCTCTTCTGATGTACAGGGTTTCTTTTTCCCTTTGTGAGGTTTGCTTTAGGGAACATAAGGCTCTAAGGACCAGGATGGCATATGGGTTTCATCTTTTATTCTTTTTGATCAATGGTTGCTGCTCTGTTGAGTCAGGCTCAGAGGCTATGCTCAGACTCAATGGCAGATTGTCTCGGGGATCGATTAGTGATGTCTGTGGTGGTCACAAGAATGGAGAAACGTAATGCCATGTCAGGCGTTCCTTGCCATTCCTGCTCTGGGCCACTGGGTAAAGGAACTAAGTCGAAGTCAGGGCCCAGCAAAACTCTGGAAGAGATGGGTTACTGAATTGAGATGCTGGTGAGGGCTTCGGGCGGCACTACTTGGCACGAAAGTTCCTTTCTGGTGGCACCAATACTGTTTCTCTAGCCATTGACACAAGTCTTGCCGTGATTGACACTGTTTTATGTCCTAAAGGAGTAGGCATTGGGACAGGAAATGTCACTTTAGAATGCGTTGATAAAATGTCATTATGAAGAGCAAGTAGCTTGCTACACAGACATCAGCTTGCTTTGCGTTGACATATTCAGGTTTATGCTGTGTAGCTTAATTCAAAGAAAAAGAATAAAACCCTTTAATGACCTAAGAAAACTCTCTCTCCGGATTTTTCTCTTTCTCTTCTTCCACAGGCTTCTTTCTCTTCTGTCTAATAACACACGAGCAGTCTTCAAGTATCACCAGGTAGAAGTTGTTGTAGGAGACCGGGCGCTCCGCGTCACAGGATGCAAACAAACCAAGCCTTGATGACCGTGTAACAAGAGCACCAGACTAGCGTTGACGGAATAACTTAATTTTTCTTCCCACATGGATAGTCTCTGAATCGGATTTTGTAAATTTTACTTTTCATTCAGCAAACCACATGAGTTACTTGCTGTGATCTAAGCACCATACTAAGTGCGATGGTTAAAGAATGAAAATACAGTCCCTCCTCCTGAGATCTGCATAGCTTCGCAAGGTTGTGCACACAAAACAGTGGTTGAGCCAACGCAGGAGGTACCCAACCCCTCCTAGGATGACGGGGAGGACCCCCTGGGAAAGATGGTCTTTTAGCTCACTCCTGAAGTTGGGCTTAGCTGGAGCAGACAGGAGGGAAGGATGTTCCAAACTGAGGGCGTTGCCAAGACGGACCTTCTTGGCTGGGCAGTGGAAAGCCATTAGAGAGTGTTACGCCGTGGAAGGACATAATCAGACTTTTGTTTGAGAAAGATTTTAGAAAGATCGGGACAAGAAGCACTAGGCGGCAGGGAGGAATAGCAGTACAGCCACCAGGAAGAGCTGGAGGCCTGCACTAAGACAGCGATGGTGTAGGAAAAGGGAGGTGGATCTGAGGAAGATAGATGTGTGTCTTTGGATGGGGAGGCTCACGACGGCACAGCAAGAATACACTGGTCTGATGAAACTAGGTACAAAAACATTCAGACCTGAATCTGGCTTTCCTATCCAAGGACTGGGTCAGATTGGTAAGCCTGGGATGTCCCCTTGGCTACCCAGGGAAGAGGTTAGCCCCCTGCATCTCATTCCCATCTCTACGACCACACAGCCGCTGTGTGCCTGCGGGCAGTTGCTGCTCTTTCTACACCCACCCCACTCCCACCCCCGCTTGCTACCTAGCAAACAGGCAGAGTCCATGGCCCGGGAAGGTGTCTGTGAGGGTTCAGCGAGCTAGCGGAGCCGGATGGGTGTCGGCCTCCGTGCTTGGTCTCCTCCAGCTGCTGGGAGGAAAGGGGTTGCGTCTTGTTGCTTGGCCACGGTTACAGGCTGCGATGACTAACTTGTAAGAAACTATCAATCATTAAAAATCAAATTAATTGTCTCAACCAAGCCCAAATATCCTTAACAAAGACTTCTCCAGCAGACCAACCGATCTAATCAACAGGCAAAAGCACAGATATTTAATTAGATTTTTGATGAAAAATTGTGTTTAATTTCAAGTATAATCAATTATTAATTACTGTAATGAGTGAGTCTGACTGGGTTTACTAATTAACTCATTTAAAAATTATGAATAACCTTTTCATTTGTAATTATTTTCTACATCCTATCAAGTTCCAGATAAGAATTGTATCGCCTCACCAGCACAGGGGGAGGCCCAAAGCAAAGAGCCCAAAGACTTTGTCTTGCGCTGGTATCTGCTTCGGCTGCTGTAGCTGAATGAGAGCGGTGACAGCTCTATTTGAAGTGAACTTTCTTAGTGGCGGGCAAGTCTCTGGAGAAAAGAGCAGCCAGTGACCTTTGATTTGAAGCAACATCTACAGCTATCTTCACAGGAAGATAGAGAAATGGGTGCCTGGGCTGCTGCCCACCAAGGCCACAGGGCCTCTGATCTCAGGCATCTCCTCTCCCCCTGGCAGGGTTCCTGGGCCCTTCTGGCTCTGGGTAGGAATCCTGTAGGATCTCTTCAGAGGAAGAGGGCATATCTTTGTCTCCCAAGAATACCCACTCCGAAAGGCAGCCATTGCTATAGTCTCATCTTCTTCCTGTTAAGAACATTGCAGGTCCTCGTTAGTGTCTGTTTGAGTATTGCGCCTTTGCTCTAGGAAAGACAGCTCCTGTCTGCAGACCAAGACCAGAGAGACTAAGACAAGGGGCTTCAACATGGTCCATGTGCTTTTCCAAGCCCCACATCGGGGATGGCTAATTACGTGTCAACAGGGCACGGATACATGATTTTATTGCATTTCATTGTTTCTAAGATATTTTCACTCCCCAAAAGAAAGCAGTGTGGTGGTATGAAGCAATAGAAATTGCAGGGGCCACTGTTTACGGTTCATAGGAAGGTGAGTTCGCCTTGTCTGTGTCCAGCTGCCTCTCTGTGTGTTGAGTGAGCCCTTCCTCTTTGAATCCTCCCGACATCCTGAGGCGTTATTCCCACTAGCGCAGAACCGATCCCATCTTCAGATGCTCAGTGGCAGAGCTGGGGTTGACCCAGCCTCGGGCACTTGGGCTCTCTCCTCCTCCTCTCTCCATATGCCATCGCCCCAACAATATTGTGGGGCGAGTGTGATTTCCTGTATTTTCCAGATGAGGAAACTACAGCTCTGAGAAGCTAAGCAACTTGCCGGTGTCACACCATCAGTCAGTTACCCAGCTGAGATTCACAGCAAGACTTGAGATTCCAAAGACCACCCTCCTGGGCCACTGTGCTAGCGATCCTGGGCTCGAGCAGATGATAAAGAATCAGAAGGTCCCACCGCTGTCTGGCTGAGTGAACATGTGCGCGTGACTTCACTTCTCTGTCCACTTTCCTTATGGGCCGTGTAATGGACGTGGTGGGAATGGTCAGCCCCGTTTTATGAGGAGGGAGCTGTAAATAGCATCCTGGTTGAAAATATGGGTTCTCAAACTGGCCAGCCTACTTTCAGCTATCAGTCCACTGGCTGCAAGCACCACGAACCAAGGCAAGTTTGCTCAAACACGTGGACCCTGGGGTCCCCTCTGGAAAACGAGGGGAATAATAACAATGGTGACACCAGAGGGTAAGATCATTTACCCGAAGCACCTTGCTCACAAGTGCAGAGTAAGCATTCCTCCCAAAAGTGAG